TCGGACTTTCATGCCCTAAAAAAGTCAGAATATGCATGCAAATATGCTCTCAAAACAGACAAGATATGCACCATACCGCGGGATATATGCACGAACAGCGTACCAGATTCGTCAACTTATTTATTGATTACAGTATATCACAAGCACCATTTTAAGATTCTCGAAGGTGAAACTATGCCTCCGATCGTCAAGGATGTACTTAAGCATAGAAAAACTCCTCTCCACGTCTACCGACGTGATAGGAGCGAATTTAAAGGCTGACAGTTCACTGGGGCTAAAACCTTCGAGACTGCTATCGGGAGAGTCTCCTCTCAGAACTTGAGCGATGGACCTGATTCGTTCATAGTCAGGATTTCGACTCAGAACAAATTTACACTTATTTCGGAGTCTTTCACCGGCGGTGTTGGGGATCATATCGAGAACTCTCATAATTCCTTCGAAGACTTCGAGGCTCTCGGCGAGCGGGACTTCTCTTTTCTCTAGTCTTTCAATTCCTTGCGGTAGATGTCCCAGATTAGCCTTGATAAAAGCGAGTTGCTCTCTCACGGAGTCTTCTCTCAAGAGCTGCTGAGTAGCTGCGATGCTTGCGGCTTCGGCCGCGTCTAGGGTGTTCACTACAGACGCAAAGGAATCGAAATGCTCTGCATAGTAAACTGCGGCCTTAATCCACGTGCCCCATCGGGTCAACACGGGCTGCGGAGGCAAGGGTATGCCTGGCGCGATCTCACGGAAGGTAGTTACTCTCGAAGCGGATTTGAGAAAAATCTTCTTCCCATTGGATACGAGTTTGTCTACAGTGGGGGAAACAAGTCGAACATCCTCCGCCAAACGGTGAACCGCGTGGGCTGTACAAGTGAGATGTAGCATCTTAGGAAAAATTATCTTCAAGGCCGAACCTGCCTTTCTCATGTATGCAGCCCCGTCCGAAACAAACAAGAGCACCCTCTCGTGTTGAATTCCTTCAGGCCATAGAAGTGTCAATGCATTGATGAATACCTGACACACCGAGGTACTATTCGTTTTCTCCATAGACTCAGCACGCAGGAGGAAATTGCGACTCGCTATCCCTTGCAACGTCCCAACAATTACGTGTGCGACGAAGCGCCCGGTAGCGTCCGTGGTCTCGTCCGCTGAAAGCCATATGAATTTGTTCTCGACGTAACTTCGAATTCTTGTATCTTGCTGTCGTACACATTCTTCAGATAAATCTTTCGCAGTGTGCATGAGCCTGGTATCTGTTGCTTGCAATATTTCTCGAAGAATGACTTCAACTTTTGATGGTCAAGCTTGAAGAGCGGTATTCCGGCTGAGATGAGCGCGTTACAGAGATCCAAATTGAACGTCGATTGCTTGCTTG